GTTTAGATTGGGTGGTCAGGGAAGACCTCTCTGCAGAAATGACAATTTAGCAGTGCTGAGGAATCAAAGAAGCAAAGGTCTGCAGGAAGGGCATTACTGACAAAGGGAAGAGAATGTGCAAAGGCCCTGGGCCAAGAGTGAGTTCTGTGTGCTCAAGGAGCAGTAAGAAACCAGCGTAGCTGGAGTGAACTGAGAGGAAAGGGATTAGTTCAAGGCAGTGGCAGGGCCCAGACCTGGTGGCCTTGCTGGCTGTGGGAACATGGATTTCATTCTAGGGGTGATAGAAAGTTGTTTGTAGCATTTGGGTGGGGAGGCAGGTGATCTGATTCATAGAAGATTATTCTGGCTGTCAGGAAAATAGACTTCTGGGTGCAGGAAGTTTCTCACTAAACTACTAAGACAGAATACCACACCAGAGTAAACAGCCCCTTCTACCTGAGAAACCCCCGTGCTCTCTGAAGTGGGAAGAAATAAAGACTGTGGACCTCACATTGCTGGAATGAGGACATGGGCCTCTCCTCCCATTTTCTCTCCCCAATGGGTCTTGTCTTTCCTGTTTAAGATCTCAAATAGATGTTTATCCTCTCTTCTTTCCAGCCCCAAAAATACATAGGTTTGTTTTTGTTTGTTTGTTTGTGGAGCTTTACTCAGAAACAATTCAATTCTCATTAATTCTCTGACATCGAGTCTTGAAGACATTGAAGAAAAGATTTATTAAATTTGAAGGAAATTTATAAAGCTTTTTAACATGAAAAGAATCAGTTATGTCTCTGAATGCCACTCGTGCTAATCTTTTCTTTCTTTTTAAAACGTCTCTACAACTCTAACAAGATCTCCATTGGACTGAAAGAAGACTCTAGATGAGGCTTCCTAGCCAGAGACACCTTTCCATAAAACGACACAGAGCAGCCAGGGCAGAGAAAGGTAGTACCAGTCTGCTAGGGCCGCCATAACAAAACACCACAGACTGGCCGTCTTTAACAACAAAAATGTATTTTCTTGTAGCTCTGGAGGCTGGAAGTCCAAGATCAAGTTGCCAGCATGGTAGGGTTCTAGCAAAGCCTCTCTCCTCTGCTTACAGAAAGCCACCTTCTTGCTGCATGAGTCTGCAGAACAGTAAGGGGAATGAGGGTAACACTACTCTACCCACTCGTCGTCCACCAAAAAGAATAAGATACCTTGACATCATCCATGGCTGACCACTAACACATGGGAGGGGAATTTAGGTTTATTACGTTATGTCAGCAGAAAGCAATAGCAAAGCTAACAAATCATTACAGAATAATGACCTGTTAGGACTCCATCTTAAAATATTCTTCTTATCTAAAAATATTAGAAAAGATCATTTTCCTTTAAAAAAAAAAAAGTGGAAATGTTTCCAGAATGAATCAAAAACCTTTGTAGCTCTTTGGCTAGAAGGACCACCAACTAAAAACCCCAGTGTTGAATTTTGACATCGTGGACCTGAAAGGCAAAACTGGAGACCAGAGACCTGGATACAAGGAGCCCAGACAGCTGATCACACCCCCAGGGACAGTGTCCCATTGGCCCAAGAGACCCGACACAGAAGCCTCCATTGTCTGGCTAGGGTTAGCGGTTGAGATGGAAAATTGGTCCGAAGCCCTTTCTTAGGTGTCTTCCTTAAAAGAAGCAGATTTCAGGTTTTTTAGGTTTATCTCTGTCTTTACAATATTAAATTCCCATTATTCCCAAATATTTCCATCCTTCACTGTGGCTACACATTGAGAGACAGAGTAAACTACTTAATGAAAAAGTACGTTAGGGAAAATTTCCCCCATTTTAGGGCTTAATAAGAAAGGAAGCAGAGACTTTATCTCATTATATTTTACCAGTAGTACAGAGCATAATTGTGAGTCCTGCTTCCGGTGTCCTGAGCTCCTCCTGCTTAAGCACCTGGTTTTGGAGCACAGGGATCTGTGGACCCTGAGAGGTGATCCAGCAAGGGAGATGCTAATCAAATAGCAGTGCATGTGAAACCACAAGGCAACATTACTAAAAGAAAGAAACATGGGAAATTTGCAATGGGGGGGTCTGAGCTGAGGGGGAGTTGAGGAGCAACTTCCCCTGGTCAGCAACGGGAGTGGAGCACAGACGGGAGACTGGTCATTCAGAGGGAAGGGAAGAGCGCTGCGGCTTGCAAGAAAGCCCTGAGACAGAAGAGCCCAGAGCACCGGCAGAGCCAAAAGTTGACTAAGGTGGCTGAACTGAAGGGAAAACGGGAAGGGAGAAAGCAGGAGAGGCGTGCACCTGGCAGCTCCCCACGGTGTAGGCCACAGAAAGGCCCCCCACGGGGTTGTAAGTGGTAAGGGAGGGAAACCAGGACATCTTTTGCTCTGAAATGATGACACTAGCTGTGTCATGATCAGACAGCAGAGGGGTCTGAGCAGGTGCAGGGCAACCAGACTGGCGACCTCGGCTGTAAGGCAGGAGAGACGGCAGCAGCTTGGACTAGCATGGGGGCAGTGGAGGTGGAGGGCGGAGGCTGATATGAGCTAGAATCACTAGACACGGGACTGGATGGAGGTAAGGGGTGAGAGGGAAGGAGATGTTTCGCTAACTCCTGGAATGTATAGCGGTTTGAGGAGACAGGGAATACTGGAAGAGGACTGACTTGGGGTTAAGAGCATTAATCAGTCTTGGACAAGTAGATTTGGAGGTGCCTGCGCGTCTCCCAGTGACCCTGGTCTCCCTGTTCACAGATCTTCACCCATAACAGTTAGCATAGTAATGAAAGGAGGTTATCTCCCAGGTATGGAGGGAAGAAGGCAGCCTCTGATGTGTTCTGACCATTTCCTACCAAAGTAGGTAATGTTTGCACTTCTGAGATGTGGTCTTACATGGATGGGACGTGCATTTCTTCTCCTTCCTCCACTGAATATGATGGCTGATCCTCTAGTCACCAACTTGGACCATGAAGACACAGGCCAACCCCTAGGGATGACGGTGCCTTGAACTGGAAAGAGATTAGGTTCATTTCCTAATGACTTCATGGAGCTAGTATACATTCTGCACTGCCCACTTCCTGCCTTTGTTTTTACAGAGAGAAATGAGCCCCCATCTTGTGTAAGGCACTGTGATTTGGGGGTTTTGGTTACGTGCAGCCAGATTTAATCCTAATTTATCCAGTATCCCTCCCATGTGTTTATTCCCAGGAAAACACACCCTGCACTATCATTGCAGTTACTTATTGGAGTGAAAGAAAACCTGCCCTGACCGAGTTAATACTCTTCTCATTCAGTTGGCTCCAAAGTTGCCCCCATATAACACAGCCAATCGCCCACATAACTGCAAGCGTTCAGGAAGAAAGCCAGGCCCATTTATCCAAAGGCAAAGCTGTGGAACCACTTCAAATGCTGCTTTCCAGGCTCAAGGTTTACAGCCTCTAGATGATGGATGGGAAAGACTGTGTCCACTTCTTCTCAAATGCCATTTCTCTCTCTTGGCCTGAAAAGTCCAATAATACCACCAAGAAGCCCAGAGAAAACTACAAGGCAAAAAATCACACACACACAAATGTCTTACAACTGGCATCCCCTTGGTGACATGTCCTGACGCTGTGGCCTCTGGCAAATCTAAAGTAATTTTGAAAACGCTGACAGTTTGGTATTTGAAATACTGAAAGCAATCTGGAAAATCCTGAGAGCCAGCATTTGTGTCTTCATTGCTAGCTGCCAAAATAGATTGTCAGCATGGCTTGCAGGAGGATCAGGTAAGCAAGCATGTCTGGGCAGATGAGCTCATTTGTAGCAGCATTCATGAATTTTGGTGATGCGCTCTTTAACGGGCTCCAGCAGTGAGTCTATGCCAATTAATTTACCTTCCCCAGAGCCTTTCAAAGGTCAAATACTGTGTGATGGTATTTTACACCCTTACACCAGGCGTTTCTGCTTTTATTGGCTCACCTGCAATTGATGGAGGCTTCAAAGTATAAGCAAAATAATAATAGCCAAGGGATATATAGAAGCACAAAACTTGGACAATATCTTAGAAATCTGATGTACAAATAATTATATGTTATCAATAGAAAACTGTCAAATGTCTGGACAAATCTGATAATCTTAGAGGGTTAAAGTCCCAAATATACTGGATGTTTGGACTTGCACTGTTGTAAGCCAGCAGAAGCTGCAATAACAACTCTTATTGGAGGAAAAATGTTTAATGATTAAAATGATTAATTGGTTGTGTAATAGTCCATCTGATTCTTCTTTTCCAGCTCCAAAACCACAGTCACATGCCGTAGCCTGGAACGAGAAAGAATTCCTTGTCTAGGGTTTCTGACAAGGAACTCCACAAAGCAGTCTCACTCCCCAGAGTATGCCCACGAGGGTTCATGCAAGTTTAGCTTCCACCACAGGGGTCAGACAACCAAACGGGGCAATGTCTAGTCACGTCCAGTCATCAGACAATGAAAGTAAAAATGATAATGCAGCCCAAATAAAATGACTTCTCTCCTTTCTGTTACACAAAACCTTCTTTCCCCCCTGCTATTGACTGTGCACATATTACTCAGGTTAACAACTTTTATCCACCTGGCTTCAGGCATCACATAGTGAACAATGTGGCAGGCCTTCCCCCCGCCCCCCGCCACAGATTCTGGGCGGGGAAGGGTGGTACTTAAAGGAGGATCCCACAAGGACTCTTGGCACTCAAGTGCCTTCTCACACACTGTTAACATTGATTAAGTATTTTGGGGTGCTTACTATGTACCAGGCATCACGGTAGGTACTAGAGATGCAATGGGTTTTTTAAAATGGGGTCCCTGCACTCAGGCAGTTAATGCCCACTGGATGATATGACCTACTGACCAGCTGCTATATGCTTTCTATACATTACCTCACTCAATCTTCAGCCCAGTAAAACAGATGGCTATTATCATCCCCCTTTTATGGATGAGGACGACAAGGCAGAGAAAGGGTTAAGTGCCGAAGTTCACAGCAAACACGGGCTAGAGCTGGCTGTGACCACTCTCCCCTGTTATGGTCAGCCTCCTGTCCGCTGCCTTCTGATGCGGCTGCTCTGGACGCAGAGGGAGAGAGGGCCTGGGCAGTTGATCCACAAGACACTCCCAGAAACATACTACCTTTTGAAACCAGAGACAAGGATGAGGTAAGAGAAATGTTTTTCCAGGTGAAGAAGCCCAGAGATGACAATGGGCTTCTGAGATGTTTGGAATTTTATCCCTTTCTTTGAAAGAAATTGTATTGCATAGGCTGATAAGGAAAAAGTGAAAGAGTGGAAATTTTGTGCTCATTCCTCCATTTGTCTCTCCAACTTCGAACTTGCGTCTATGGGCATTCACAGAAGGAAAATGCATCTTGGGGTTTATGCTCCAGTATGAAGGCCGTAGAGTAACTTCCTAAGGCTTTTTCTCTTTAGGATTTCCAGTTACTATCGGTGGAGTGCGGGCTATCCCTACATTACCCTTCCCTAGCCCTACAATGTTCCCTTTCTTACCAATGGAAACACTACAGGCTCTCCAAGGGGCAAGGGACAGAGAGAACTGGCTTCCTAAGGGGATGTTATGACAACCCAGTGTAAACCTGGCCTCCCAGGCTCCATTTTGTTCAACCCATAATATTCAGGAGTTCTATCCTCTTTTCAAACTCCAGTGCCATTTCTCAGTGACTTTACTTTTGAAATGGAAATGCAGGTGGCAGAGGAAATAGCAAGTTAATGACAGTTAGCTCAAAGCCAGAGTGGTATACTTACTTCTAAGTGTGTTTTTGGTGGAGTTGAGAGGAGTAGACTTCAGAGAAAGATGGAGTACTGTGGGCTCTCATTGACATCTCACCAGCTGCCTTACCGTAAAATGTTTTCTTCCGTAATGGAGGCCTTGATCTAAAGCTTTATATGTATGGGTATCAACCACTCTGGAGTTTTTGTGTCCAGACCTGACGCTATGACTGTCAGATAGCGCATGGAGCTAGTCTTTAAGACAGTAACTTTCAGAGCCTGGTGGCTAAGATGGGGGAGGAGAGGCCTGACACCCTCCTGGCCGCAGAGCACACTCATGTCCCTCCTGGCTGGAGTCAGGGGGACGGATGACGCTGTATCAGCACATCCAGTCGCCCAACACCATGCTCAGCCTTGAGGCCCCTTCCATCCCTTCATGCTCTGAAGTTCTGAACTCATGGTCCTGAGCTGTGCTGCCTCCTGGTTGGGCCCACACCCTCTGAAGGAATCAGAAGGCCTTGGGCTGATACAGTTTGTCTTCCTGCCTCCGCACAGGACGGGCTGCTCCTGAACTCGAGGTGCAGAGATAGGATGCATGGTGGCCCTTCTCCAGTCCTTGGTCACCTTTAACCTTCCTTATACTCCCCCTCTCCCTTCTAGCCTAGGTATCAGGAAAGGTTGTTTATAACCAAATCAGGGAAATGAAAAATTCCTGCTAATATGCTCTGCCTTTAAAGATCTTTCCCCTTGGTCCCCACCCCCCATAGTACAGGGAACAGAGGGGCACTTTGCTTCATGTTAGAAACTGACCAAAGAGCTTGGGGGTGGACCATGGTGCACTGAGCTCCCTCAGTACCGTGTTCAGCACAGGAGGCTAAGGTAGCATAAATAACCTTTAGAAGGCATGACATCCATTCCCCTGCCCCACAGCAATATTAGTAGTTAGTAAACAGTTACCTTGACCTTGAAAACCCCCAGATCATCTGGTGGAAGACCTACAGAGATTATCACTTAGGAGTGGACTGTTTGACATCCGTGCCCCCTTTTTTTAGACAAAGCATGAGACCCCAGAATTCTCTGACCAGACCTCCCCAAGCTTGCCTCCAGGCCCAGAGCGAGGCTTTTCCAGGGCAGTCTCTGTACGCATGACCCCAATGCGTGTGTGTGTACCCCAGGCTTAAGGAGTCAATTAAGAGTAGGCATTAGGGGAAAGGAACTTGGATATATGAACTGGGGAGTCCATTTGGGTAAATAGGGATCTCTGCTGAGGCAGGAAGGGCGGGAGCTAAGAGTGGGAAGAGAAAGGAAAGAGGGATGAAGGCCAAAGCAAGGGCCCTCCGAACGCACCATGCTCCAGCATGGGACTCTAAGGAGTCCAGGATTCTAAATCCAAACCTGAACTTCCAGGTTATGAAGGTAATTTTGTCAAGGTAGGACAACAGAACGTATTTTATTTAATGATTTGTTATTTGACATCTCACCAGCTGCCTTACCGTAAAATGTTTTCTTCCGTAATGGAGGCCTTGATCTAAAGCTTTATATGTATGGGTATCAACCACTCTGGAGTTTTTGTGTCCAGACCTGACGCTATGACTGTCAGATAGCGCATGGAGCTAGTCTTTAAGACAGTAACTTTCAGAGCCTGGTGGCTAAGATGGGGGAGGAGAGGCCTGACACCCTCCTGGCCGCAGAGCACACTCATGTCCCTCCTGGCTGGAGTCAGGGGGACGGATGACGCTGTATCAGCACATCCAGTCGCCCAACACCATGCTCAGCCTTGAGGCCCCTTCCATCCCTTCATGCTCTGAAGTTCTGAACTCATGGTCCTGAGCTGTGCTGCCTCCTGGTTGGGCCCACACCCTCTGAAGGAATCAGAAGGCCTTGGGCTGATACAGTTTGTCTTCCTGCCTCCGCACAGGACGGGCTGCTCCTGAACTCGAGGTGCAGAGATAGGATGCATGGTGGCCCTTCTCCAGTCCTTGGTCACCTTTAACCTTCCTTATACTCCCCCTCTCCCTTCTAGCCTAGGTATCAGGAAAGGTTGTTTATAACCAAATCAGGGAAATGAAAAATTCCTGCTAATATGCTCTGCCTTTAAAGATCTTTCCCCTTGGTCCCCACCCCCCATAGTACAGGGAACAGAGGGGCACTTTGCTTCATGTTAGAAACTGACCAAAGAGCTTGGGGGTGGACCATGGTGCACTGAGCTCCCTCAGTACCGTGTTCAGCACAGGAGGCTAAGGTAGCATAAATAACCTTTAGAAGGCATGACATCCATTCCCCTGCCCCACAGCAATATTAGTAGTTAGTAAACAGTTACCTTGACCTTGAAAACCCCCAGATCATCTGGTGGAAGACCTACAGAGATTATCACTTAGGAGTGGACTGTTTGACATCCGTGCCCCCTTTTTTTAGACAAAGCATGAGACCCCAGAATTCTCTGACCAGACCTCCCCAAGCTTGCCTCCAGGCCCAGAGCGAGGCTTTTCCAGGGCAGTCTCTGTACGCATGACCCCAATGCGTGTGTGTGTACCCCAGGCTTAAGGAGTCAATTAAGAGTAGGCATTAGGGGAAAGGAACTTGGATATATGAACTGGGGAGTCCATTTGGGTAAATAGGGATCTCTGCTGAGGCAGGAAGGGCGGGAGCTAAGAGTGGGAAGAGAAAGGAAAGAGGGATGAAGGCCAAAGCAAGGGCCCTCCGAACGCACCATGCTCCAGCATGGGACTCTAAGGAGTCCAGGATTCTAAATCCAAACCTGAACTTCCAGGTTATGAAGGTAATTTTGTCAAGGTAGGACAACAGAACGTATTTTATTTAATGATTTGTTAGCTTTATAGTATTTAGGCATATGGTTTGTGGCCTCCATTTGTGCACTTGTCTTGGGGCCTACGGCACCCTGCACCTCACCCTACTTCCTGGGAGAGACGGCTCCACAGGCCACATGGCTCAGTGGTCCAGCTGAACCCACATGCCAAACAGTCTCGCATCTCTCCCACTCTCCAAACTGCCCTATTTTGGCTCCTAAGAATGGTTAGATCTCACAAGGCATTGAGTTAAGGATTCATCCTTATGGCCATTTGTTTTGCACAAACCCTATACTAGTTTTTATGTCTGTGTTGCTTAGGACATTAAATAGGATATAAGTTTTATCTATTTTCCAGGGACCATTAGCCTTAATTCAGTTGAACCGTGGGCACTGGAGACACACCTGAAAAAAATGAGGTGGTTCAAATTTGACTAACGATTCTCATTTAATGGGTGGTGTGCGCCAGCTGAGTTGGCAGTCTCAAAGGTTCCAGACTGTTCAGTATGTGGGTTCTGCTGGACCACTGAGCCACGTGGGCTGTGAAGCCGTCTCTCCCAGAAAAGAGAGTAATGTCAGGTACAAGAGGCCCCAAGAGGCACTTTGGATGGAAAAGGGGATGAAGCAGCTGCTAAGAGAGGGACTTTGAAGAGTGGAAGTGTATACAGGTATTTTTAGGGAAGTTTTACTGTGTGGTATGAGGAACTTGCCTCACTTTCCCAAAGAAAAGCCAGTAAACCCTGCATTAGTCAGGACTGCTAATGGATTTGGATTTATTTGTTTGTTTTGGAGAAGAGGGACTGAGGCATGGGATCCAGTGCTGAGTCTGGCCTGGAGGTGATCTTAGAGTGACAGTAGGAGCTACAAAGAGCCCAGGAGCATTGAAGATCACTAAGTGAAAGGAATACGGGGCATCTGCTTTTCTTTCCCCGTAGCTGACCCTGTGGAGTCTTCAAAGTAGATGACCAAATATCTGAGAGTGAAACAAGGGGCCCTGGCAGCAGGCTCACTCGGGGCTTCCTGGAAGATGAACTAAGCTGCAAGCTTGGCCTTGGTCCACCACACTCTGCTTTTAAACTTGTGCTTCAGTTGTTTTTCTTTTCTGTTTTTACTATAAAAGTAGTTCATGCTCATTAAATATACTTTGGGAAATATAAAAAAGTTAAAGTAAAAGAAAAATCATTCACGGTCTTACCATCTGAATCCCATCAATGTAAACATTCGCTATACTTTCTTCAAGGCTTTTTTTGTTTGAGTAGATTGTGTGTGTGTGTGTGTGTGACAGAGATTGATTTAACACAATTGGATCCACTTCCCTAAAGCACTATTTTCAAGGCAACAGGATTAATGTGATTTTAGAGACTAAAATGAGTCATTTGAGGATTGTTGAGCAACTTCATGAGGTTTGGTAAAAACAAAGTTGACTTTCCTTTATTCTGTCATCAGGAATCACCTGCTCTAACTCAGCTGTTCTTCTCATGGCTCATGTTCAGTGGAAAGGATAATAAGAAATATATCAAGAGATGTAAAGATAAGATATCTAAGTAAGGCATATGCTATTATTATGACTTCAATACTCAAATGAATTATTACACAAACCCGAATTCCTTAGTCACAATAGATCTGT